TGTAATGAGGAACTTTTTCAACTTCGAGCCCAACTCCTACAGTTTTTGCATGTGTTCTTGCTTTCTTTATTTGGCGATCACTGAGCTTCTCAAAGGGTGCGTGCATTGCCTTCAGTTCGTTTGACGTATAGCGCAAGGCATATATACTTAGGATCTGTGTTTTTAGATCCTTGGTTGGTGCTTGCCTGTAGGCTGACGTCAATGCCTCGACCTCTTTATCTGACCTGGAAGCACGCTTCACGTACGATTTCAGCAACTCCTCGCTAGAGCTTGGTGCGATCACTTTACACACTGCCCGACAGGCCTCGTCAACCTTCTCTTCGCACATCTGCTTTTCTTTCTCTGTCGCAGTGCCCCAGTCCACTTTCAGCCTAAAGGTCAACGGCTCTAAAATCTTGATATCGGACAGTCCAGCGATTTGCGCCAATGCGGTATTATACACCTCGAATGTCTGGTCTGGAAAAGTCTGCTTGTCCTCGCCTGTGCTGTCATCGTCCACTGACTCTAGTTTGCGCCACTGTCCAGGTGTCCAAGGGAAGTCACCAAGTGGTGTGGAAACAGTTGGGGTGTCTGGTGGGATCTCTCGCATCTCCGCGAAGGCCTTGTCTTTGCTCTTCCTATACGAGACACAAGAAGGCATTACCACATGACAATGATGGAAAAGCGACTGGCAAGAGACCTACTGCTAAAGGGAAGCTAGGGTGATTTCCCTCCGAAAACTTCAAGTTATGGAATTTAGCAGCATATAAGAGGCATATCTCTTCTAATGCCTGAAATCACCCCGACGGCCACGCTTACACCCAGAAATTGTTATTAGAGGGCATTTCATATCGATAATAAAGCGATTGTGCCATTTAAACAAACAAATAAAAAATAAAAGCTACCACATTTTGGTTTGCAGGTCTGAACGCAATGCTGTTTGGGACAAACAATATAAAGTGATTGAAAAGGTGATCGACAACACTTTTTTCACGTTTTTGAACTTTTAGGGTATTTTTTTCCTATAAACAAACACTCCTTTATACTGTAACCAACAATTTAGTTTCTTTAATGGTCCGTCCCTTAGGCTCGTTTTTAAACTTTAGGGTATTTTTTTCCTGGATACAAATGCTCCTTTATGTTGTTACCAACAATTACGTTTCTCTAATGGTCCCGTTCTTGGGGTATTTTCAGAGTACCGAGAGGGTGGATGGAACAAAGCATGTCGGCTTTTTATTACAACGCAAACAGGGCTAAGCTAGCCAATCCCGAACGAGCGTTCTCACGATCTTATCTTGCGCCAACAGAATTGTGTTTGAGCTATGACAAGAACTGAGGATAACTGTTTTTGCGCATTTTAATGTCAAAAACAAGAATATTTATATTAAAGATACCTAGTCAGCAGTACTGCATCATCTTCATCGCGTGGTCCCGCATTCGCGTTTCCTCCCTGTAGCCACGGCCAATTACTCTGGACCCTTTTGCTGTGCGCCTTTCTACAGCTACTACAGATCGCTTAAAAAAATCATACACGAGATTATTCATAATATCTGCTATTTGCGCAAGTTGTTTATGAGTCTCAATTATTTCAAATAAGAGGTAATCCAGAAAATAGGCAAATACTCACGTGCTCCGACAGGAACAAGAACACCAAACACTTCCATTACTTCCCTTGATACCTTCAAAGTAAATGCGCGATCTGTTCTGACCGCTCTGTGCTCTCCCTTGTGGTCAGGGTACTTGCATGAGCTTAACTTTGTCTGATTTCCCCAGTACTGCCCGAGATACGCACGGTGCTTCGGACAAACAAGCATTTTTTGTCTCTGCGTTTCGGTCGTATAAAACAAACCTGAACGCACCAAAATCAATTCTCCCTCCATAATCCGTTCTCGACTCAAATGACATCGGGATAAATGTTGACTTAAATCGTTCCTACATTGATCTAAGCTTACAAGCTCAGCTATACCTCGAAATTCTCCACAGTCTCCAAACTCTCGTGTTTTCAGAAAACAAGTCGCCATGATACAAACTCTGCTTTCTCATCCACTTTCGTTAGGTATTGCGTGACAACCAGCTAATTTGCATATAAGGAACAGTGGTTTCCTTGACCTTAGCTCTATGAACCTAAGATATTTTTCCTTTATGATTTTCAAATAAAATTACAAAAAGCGTTTGTTTGAAGGTTTTGAGGAAACATTTAGAGCTGTGAATATTTTTTCGGTCAAGCGAGTGATCGATCAAGTAGATAAATATATGATACTATTATAGAGTCAGAGTTATTTTTGTAAACAAAGTGCCATGATGGCCAAAATTACCTTCTCACCGCTAAGTGTGCAGGCGGATACCCGCAGATTTGACCTTAGAACCTCTTAAAATGAAGTAAGGCCTTGACCTTGATATAAATTTTATATCAGATTTTTGTCCCACAATTGAGATTTTAGCTCTCGAATCTGAGCATGTTTTTTGGCAGTCGGGTGACCTGCTCAGAGTGGTGTCTTTCGGGACTTACAGATTGTCTGCAAAATTATTAAAAAATTCGATATTTTGCTCATTTGTCAATAAAAGGCAGTGGAAACAGCTGGTGTGAAAGATATTTTATCATTCGTTTTAGTTTTGTTATGGCGCGGCCCTCAAAAACGACAATTTTCGGTCTTTAAATCAGGCTCTGGAGGAGATGAATTGGCCCGGACGTGCTCGCGCCTGTAGGAAAGCGGAAATATATTATTTGCAAAAAAGAAAATCATTTTTATTACTTGTATACCAAACCCTTTTAGTGTACAAAGTTTAAAGGGAAACTTTTTTCTGACGCAAAATCAACCGGACCGCTGTTAGCGGGACTGCCTCTTAAGAGTTTAAGTTGGATAATTAACTTTGAATGTTTAAACATGAAGTTGAAAGTTGTGTGCTATAACTTAACGTTAGCCGCTCAAGTTGAATGTTAAGGACTCAAATTGATTTTTGGGAGTTTAAGTTGAATAATTAACATTGAACGTTGAAATGCGAAGTTCAAAGTTGAGTGCTATAACTTAATGTTAGCTGCTCAAGTTGAATGTTGAGGACTCAAATTGATTTTTGGCGAGGATTGAACACTATAGAAATAGGACATGAAATATTTCCTGTGTTTGGTTTAGGGTAAGTAGACGACATATGGTGCTAAGGTAAAGAGCAAAGATCTTTGTTTGTATGTGATGGATGTTAAAACTGCCTTGGTCCTTGGTAATTTCCCGGTGAGACCTAAACATATAATTTTCCTTAAACACCAGAGGCTTCCATCAAATCAACCGAGTGAACTTCATCTAAAGCCACTGCTGCCATCTATTGGCCCAATTTTCCCTCTTTCAATTCCTTCATTCATGATTTGGGAAGCCAGCTTTCAGGGCTTGTGAAAACAATTTAGCCTTCACCACCTTCAACTTTTTCCGTGTCTTCTCTGATTCTTGTGGTTGCAGCCAAGAACCCTAGTCACTTTAACTGTTCGACTTGATGTCTCATGATTGAAATCAATAGTGAAACAAGGATTATTGCTGATATTCGTCTACAAGATCATAAGGCTTTGTAAATACATCTAACAACAGGATGAAATAACTGAAAAATTATACTCTTGCCGAAACCGGTGGGCAATGATCACAAAAACGTCTTTCCTCCTGGTCAGATTGAGCAGCACAGCTTTTGCTCAAATCTAAGTGCATCAATATTTTGGAAGTCTTGAAGACGCCTGTCCAGACTGATTTCAGTTAACTTCGATTCACTGAGGCATCTGATCTGCTCGCCATGCTTTATTTTATGTGCATGAAGCCAAGTGATTGACATAAGTGTTGAAGTAAACTGTCTAAATTAACCAATCAGAGGGTATGCCAGGAGCTGTTTACCAGACAGGGTATTTAAAACAATGCTTACAGGCTCCATCTCAACCTCTCTCCCTAGTCCTCATGTGGTTTTTCACAGTTTTTTTCAATCCGTTTTCCCCCCTTTATTGGAGCCTGGAACAGGCTATGCCCCACTGGGCTAGCATTCACTGGTGGATCTACAAGTAGTGGATTTATAAGTATTTAATGTGGAGTACTGCAGCCCTGATTTAAACAACTTGGACAGAAAATCTACCACCTTCACAATACTGGGTTGACGGGGACATTTAGCTTCAGGCTCAACATATGACTTTTCACAGTGAATGGTACCACACTCTTCTGACTCAAACCACTTCATCCACCCACTCTACACCAGTGTGAACTGCCTGCAACCTCACCGTACAACTTTCTTCGTGTTTTGTTCCCTTTGCTTTCACGTCTCATTAAGCCCATTGGGCCTGAAGAGTTCGCTTTTTTGATGGTATGGGAAGCTTAACCCGCCAAATACCTGCCTGCTCTCAGGGCTACATCAAGCACAAATCAAGTGCCATCATATAGACCTTATGGTGTAGGTTGAACGCCTGAAATGATTGACTATCCAGGTCACACGCTCCAGAGCCACAGCGGAAGCTAGGCTATGGAACCGCGTGCTCAGTCCAAGCCTTCGTAATACCCGGCAGATCTAGTGGCCAGAAGCCCCCTCCAGTTCATAGCCAGAGTCTCAAAGGCAATGTTCCTAGGCTCAAAGCATAGTTGGGCCCACTCTTTAATGGCTTGAACATCATAATAGACACACTTGTAATTGTAGGTCTTCTCAAGGTCTGCATTGTCTGCAACGATTGTAACGTCCAGTATTGTTAGGTCGCTATTGCGTACTAGGACCAGGTCCAGTCTTTGAACACCTGCTGGTGTTGGTATGGCCGGTTCATGGCGGATACTGTACCCAATCTTTTCGGCACCAAACACTACCAGATCAATGATCTTGTCGTGCCTTGCAATGCATGATGCATACGCCCGAGATGACATCTTGGGCACAGCGGGATCTGTTCTCATTGTACTCCTGCTGTACCCAGGCATACTGCACCCTGCGCTTGACTCTAGGTTGATCCTGGGCCCTGGGACAGGGACCTGGCCCACGCCTCTCACAAAGTGGCAACCAGGACCTGTGCTCCTCATCCAACATATTCCTCACCCAGTTGTCTGGGCAACCGGCACTATTTGATCTAATAACACATTCCCCAAGTCTAATCGAGCATCCATCCAGCGCTTTCCTCAAGGGATCCGACCATCCACACTGCAGTCAGTCATTTGGGGCCCAAGAGCCCCGATCTCAGGCTGTTCTTGTGTAACCTGGGATGGCATCGATGGTGGACTGAAGGTGGCTTGGGCTTCAGGGGAATCACCCCCATCCAGATGTTGGGCAAATGGCATGATGTTAAAGCCTGGCAGGGCAAGATCACAGCAAAGGCAAGATATAATAAGCCTCAGGGCCTCGGGCCGCCGGCTGGGCGTTGGCATTAAGCCCGTCCCACCAATGTCCATGGGCAGTATATGGCCTGAACGTTTGTGAAGGGCCTTACACCCTACCGTTCCTCATAGAAGGCACAAAACTATTTACAGCTCAATCAAGAGCAACGCAAGCCAGAGGGACTAAGCCCTCGATTTATATATATGTATGTAACCAAAAAAGTGGAAAGAAATCCTCATCTACTATAAAGTGCTTAATAGAGAGCTAGAGCTATGAATAATTATACTCCAAGAGCTAGGTTATTTGAACATTTACTGCAACTCTGAGTTTCATGCTTCTTGCGAAGCAATCATCAGGCAACTGCCAGAAATAACGGTTACAATCACAGAAATTTGAAATACAGAACAATGGATACGTACGTGACGTCTAGGCATGTCATTACATCGTTACATTTTTTAACAGGAATTTCCTAACATGTCTACAGCACGATGACAGCTCATTTCTTTTGTTTAGACTTGCCATTTCTGGTTTACAAATGATAAAATTCTTTTCCCACAAACACAAATTGCATCTCTTAGTTACGTTGGAGTAAGAACTAGCTTGTTTTATCTTGCGCCATTTGATGTTATACTTAGCGTTCTTATCTTTGAGACTCCATATGTATTTACTAAGTTCGGTAGCATGTTTGTAACACTCGGTTCGGAATGAGCTTACATGGTTTCTATAACGCAATTTGAACCCAGTGTCACAGAGTCCAATGTATGTTTCCTTTGCGGTTTCTGTGGTGACCTCGGCCTGATAGATGACGCTTTCCACATTACAGTTTCCATCCATGGGACACTCATTAGGCTTCCTACTATTGCAGCTTTTCTTAGTTTGATTATTAGTGAGTGTGGATTTGCTAATTATGGCTTTGTTATGGCTGGATATGATTGTTTTAATGTTGCCCATGCAGCTGTAGCTTAATTTGAGGGTGTTACGGTTAAAAGTTTTGTGAAGTGGGTTAGTTTTGGGGAAGTGCTTATCAATTAATGAAAGGAAGCATTTTCCGACGTTTGTTTCCACGTTCTTGCTATAGGGCGGGTTAAACCATGTAATGTTCCGTTTTCTGTTTCTCGGTGGACGTGGGGTTTGGTTTAATGTGGCATTGAATGACAGGTTATAGCGATATCCGCTTTTGTTGAGAGCTTCCTGATAGATGGGTTTAGCGCTATCAAAGCATTCTTTGTCAGAAGATATCTCGGAAAGCCTCTTATTGATTGACTCGGGGATGTTTTTCAGGATGGTTGGTGGGTGGTTGGATTTTGTGTGCACATACAGTGGGATATTGCCTTCCTTTGGGTAAGGGTAGTACTTCCCACTTGTGAGGTCAAGCGTGACATCTAAGAAATTGACCTTGGTGGTGTTAGCCTCAACTGTGATCTTCAATTCGTTGTCATAAAAGACTTTGCAAATGCCCTTTTTAATCTTCTCTATTTCCTGTGGTGTTCCATTGAAGGCAGCTAAACCGTCATCCCAGTATAAGCCGATATTTTGGCCGTACTTCTTGGTGAGAAGTGACAAGAGGAAGCATCCAACCAGTTCACAAGTCTCTGCTCTATCGAAGGATCCCATAGTGACATCAAATAGGTTGTTGGCAGATTTTTTCTCCCATGGGCAATTATCGTTGAATAGCAGAGATCGCTTTGCATACAAGATAATTTCACGCTCATGACTGTAGATTGGGCGGTACTTAGAGGCAAAATCTAGTGCTTTGGAAAGCAACTTCTCAGTTATTGAGGGGTAGAACTCACAAACGTCGAAGCAGATGAATGAGAGAGAATTCTTGTTTTCTAGACAGTTAAACCATTTTAGGACGCTGGATGTGTTTTTCCACTGGTTTATCTTAGAGCTGCTGATGATGGAAGTGTTAATCTCATCGAGGATGTGCTTGCTAATTACGTTGCTAATTACATGCATGCAAGAATCAAACCAGGTCAAGCGTTCCCGTCAATTTTTTTCGCAATTCTCGCAAAAGAAATAATTGAGAAAAAATTATGTCAGAACATCACTTACAAATATCGCAAAAATAGCAATAATAACAAATCTAACAAGAATCAAGACTTAGAAAAAAAGAAGCCAAGAAGGGCCCCGAAATATCCACAAAATCATAAAAGTAACAAGGATTTTTCTTGTGAGCTAAAAACACCTGTGACAAATGTCACCAAAATCGCAAAAATAACAAATTTAGCAAAATTCTAGACTTAGGAAAAAAAGAAGCCAAGAAGGGTCCCAAAATGTCCTCAAATATCGCAAAAATCGCAATAGTAACAAGGTTTTTTCTTGCTAGCTAAAAACACCTGTGAGACATGTCGGAAAAATCACAAAAATGACAAATGTAACAAAAATCAAGACTTAGAAAGAGAAGAAGCCAAGAAGGGCCCCGAAAGGTCCTCAAATTTGGCAAAAAACGCAAAATTAACAAAGATTTTTCTTGGTAATTAAAAACACCTACAATCGGCGACAAAACAGGGTGACTTCGGAGAACAAAAGAATCCGCACCCCTCCCCTGTCCCCTCCATTCAAAGTTGGGATGTTTGATGTTTTCTATAGGTAGCTAGAACAACGGCACAACATTGTACAGAGGGGATGGGGGAGGAAAGCTATATTTCCTCCTTTTGAAGTTCATAAAACCTAAAAAAGCCTACTTTGGAGCGAAGTGTCTCAACTCATTTTGTCGCCGATTGTAGCAACAAATATCGCACAAATAGCAAGAAAAACAAAATAAACTAAATTGTAGACAAGGGCTACAGTCTACATTTAGTAAACTTCAATAGCAGAATCTGTAGAAGAGCTTTTCTGGGAGAGGAGGGAGGGGAACGGTGGATTAGGGTTAGGGTTTTCGTTTCAAACACCAATGGTAAGGTCTTTACTGTGGGTTCTATAATTAACAGCAGTGGCGAGTACACTTATTTACCCCAGTTTCAATAAAATCTTCTCATGGAGATTTGTGTAAAGCAATGACCAAGTATTTGAATTTTCTACTGTTTTTGTTTCGTGATTCTAACACACACGACAGGACAGCAGGAAGTGAAGAAGATAAAGTGCTCGATTAGATACAATCGTCCTGAGCCCTGAATTTCTATCATTAAACTTAAACCTTGAATTTTTAAACTTGCCAGTATGACTAAGGACTAACAAGAATGAAATACTTTGCAATTGGCGTGTTATCATTTTGTTGTAGCAAATGTTTTTGGAACTAGACTATTCACGCATACTGATAATATTGATAGCAATGAATAAGATTTTCCCAAGAACCCTGTGTTGTTTTGGGCGTTTTTTTTTACGAGGAAGTAGTAAATTTTATGGGTGTGACTCCTGAAGTCCTTTCACAATTGTAAGAACTCAACATTATGTTCGGTTATGAGTTCATTATTTTTATAAAGGTGATTGAAACAAGTGCTTTGCAGAGAATTACTGTATAGTCCGAAAATAAGCAAACTCAAGAATAATTTGGTTTTGATAAATATCTATATTATATAAAAAAAGTCATTTGAGAACAATACAAGTGGGAATGCTCCTCATTTCATTCAGTCGTGCGTATGTCCGCTCATTAAATAAGGGAAGTAGTGTCGATATTTATGGACCAGACGTGGTTGTCCTGACAAATCATTACAGGAAGAAATCGCGGTCAAAACAATGAAGGAAAATGAAAAACGCATAAAAATCTATTCACAAAAGTGTTCCAATTAGTAGTAAAGTAGGTGTCCAAATGAAAGCATAGTCCTGGGCCTCATCATGGGTGTTGCAATTCATTCTTACTGATCGAATGCTAAGTCTAATTTCAAGCCGAAATTTGGCTGTTCTTCTTCGTACTCCATCCCGGTTATTTAATTGAAAATTTACTCCTCATCAGTGGCAGCCTGTTGTTGAAATATTATCATACATTCCATTTCTTTTGTCTCTTTGTCGGGGATGTGATTCATGGAAGGATGATATTTTTGGCGAAGGAAGTTTCCTTTGTCTTTTCGAAGCCAATCGGTTATTTGTAGTTCTTCTTCGTCTCCCAGAAATTCAGTAGGCGGAACTACTACTAGTACTTTGGCAGTGTAGTAAAATGTTCCAGTTCTCTTTTTAACATAAGAAAGGCTGTGAAAAGTGACCTTACTAGTACTATATTGACATTCCTCATCTAAAGTATGGTAAACCATACTTCTAACATGCTTGCATGTTTGCTGGATGCTTTGAAATTCATTCTTTGCTACTTCTTGGAATGTTGGTTTGTTTTTTACCAGTTGTGTGTGAAGGAGTTGCGCGAGATTTGGAGTCAAACATTTAGGGTTGTCCATGTCAAAATTACAATTCTTTGTCAAGGTGAATTGTGATTGAACACGTGCAGCAACTGGAGGTTGAACTCGTTCAAAATATGAATCTACGAAAATCTATAATAATTACACCTATATAATATTATTCAATTTTAAATACAACTCAATAAACATATACATATAAAAAAACTTGGTAATAAGAACATAAAATATAAAAAGCTAAAACTGACTAAAAAGTCACATGCTAAAAACGTGACTAGGAAAACTATAATACTCGTTCTAAAACAGTTAAAGGCTACAATCATGCACTATAAAACGCGTTCTAAAAAGCTACAGTCGTGCAATTTACTTCTGAAGTCATTAGCATCTCTTGAAAGACGCACTTGACAAGGCAAACTGTTCCA